ACATAGATAAGTTCATGTGGGACTTGATTGACCTCCAACTTCATGATTCTCTAAAGGTAATTAGACACAGTGTAAATGCTTAACTGTACTGTATAACTAATGTCTGTACTAATGAACGACAGGTTTATAGAGTAGTTTACTGCACACTCTCAGAAAAAAAGGAACAAAATTGTACCTTTTAGGGTACAAATGGCCCGTCACTGGGGTGGTACCCTAAAGGGTACAATTTTGTACCTCTGTTTAGAGGTAAAAAATTGTACCTATTTGTACCATTTAAGGGACAATTTTGTACTCCCAAGGAAGGTATGAAAATGTACCTTATTATATTATATAGCATTTTCAGGGTACTGCCCCAGGCATTTTGATCTTTTGGTGACTGCATGCACAAATAAATAAAATATTTTGGTTCGCAGATGTCCATTTTTATTTAGAAATGTAATAATATTTTATTACAATTCACAACTGAATGTGTCAAGTAATAAAATTACATAGCAAGTATAAACCAGACATGTAAAACAGTAAAAAGAACAATTTAGATAACAAATAAAAATTGTTCACTCACTGTACAGTAAATCATTTACACGTAATACAAAGACCACAAGAATACTGTTTAAGATTTATAAACACATATACACAGGTTACATCATGTACTGCACTTTATAAAGTCCAAAGTGTTTGTCTTTAGTCAGAATTCTCTGTCTTTATATATATATATTCATCTACATATTTTCAGTATTTCAGAATAAAGGCAATGTATCTATATATATATATATACATATATATATACATATCTGTATACATATATATATATAGTATATATATATATATATATATATATATATATATATATATATATATATATATATATATATATATATATATATATATATATATATATATATATATATATATATATATATATATATATATATATATATATATATATGACAGCTGATTCCCATCTAGAAAGCACACTCATGTGTTGATATTTTTCAAATCACATGATCATACTGTACGTTCAAAAAGAGGACTCATGAGGTTTTTGAAAGGAACAGTGAGCACATATATTCCCTATATATATATATATATATATATAGGGAATATGTTTGTGTTTCAATTGACACAAATGAACAGCTGTTCACTTTGGCTTTAGGTTCTGTTTAGAACATGGTGTTATCTGTTCTGACATACTGTTCGAAAGCATTGGTAAATTGGACTGTAAATTTACATTGTTATGGTCTTGGTTGAGTTTGTATGTAAAAGAAGTTCAAGCATTTTAAATTGGTGTTAACTGGATGCATTTTGTGTCAAAGCAACAAGAAATAGGTTAACTGTATAGCCCACGAAGACGGATGTTGTGCTAACCGTGTTAAGAGTTTAAAAAACTTGTTAAATGTATTGAAAAAAGTGTCATAGCCAGTGTAAAAAACTAATGAATGTGTGTTTATGTGTATGCATTTTAGTTTATGGTTTATGTGTAGTGTGACTCTCTTTTCTTTTGGTCAAATGTGGCCTGTTTCTCCTGTTGGTGGATGCTGTAATTACACCTATCCAGGATAACAAGATATCTTCCTTTTAGAAGACCATTCTTTATTAAATAATCTGTAATGTGATGATTACATAGATGTACTTGTGTAAGGAACATGTAGAACAACAACCATTATATTATATTATATTATATTATATTATATTATATTATATTATATTATATTATATTATATTATATTATATTATATTATATTATTTTATATTATATTATATTATATTATTTTATATTATATTATATAATATCATATTATATTATATTATATTATATTATATTATATAATATTATATTATTTTATATTATATTATATTATATTATATTATATTATATTATATTATATTATATTATATTATATTATATTATATTATATTATGAGTTACTGATGTTGTAATATAGCAACATATGGCTCATCTAATGCAGATGACACTTGAACTAGTGACATTGTGATTTAAGGCACTTAAAAACTGACCTCAGTCATGAAACTAAAACTTTGAGTAGCTAAAAGTGTGAAAAGAGCTGCAGCTAATTCTGTTTCTCTGCAAGCAAATGTGTGAGAAAGATATAAAGTGTAAAAATAGCAGAGCAGGAATTGACCAGTGCAATGATAAGCTTGCTTTTAATATTGGAAGATTTACACCTGTAGATCTGCCCTATATACCATGGACAAAGACTTCTTACATTTATTTTTTAATTAGATGAGTATATATTAGTTTTCTTTTGTAAATTTCAGCCAAAGATCAGAATTCAAACCGAGACTAAATCAACTTGAGATATAAAACAACATTAAGGGTAATATTCAGATTATAGGCCAACTAGTGGCTGAAGATGGAAAAGCATGTTATTTTACAGGCCTTAATCCTTTTATTTATCGTCACTAAAAGCTGTCAGTGTATTTTTCCGTCAGTGAGATTTGTACAGACTGTTATATAAAAGCTCTACTTTGTCACTAACTCTGATAAAAACGTCTTGAATGTTTTGTTTTATCGTTCATAAAGGAGACAAAAAAAATCTTATTGTTTCCTGACAGGAGTCATTTTACTTAGGCCCATAGCCAGCCTGCTGAAAGGAGGGGTTTTTGTTTTCTCAAAAAGTGAAACTTTTCACAAAAATGTAAAGGGTATGGCCTATACTATAAAGCAAATAAACATAGTAAACATCCTGAACAAATCAGTCCTTCACACACACACACGCACACACAGTGTTACTCAACTGACCCAGCCGAGGCTCGAACCAGCGACCTTCTTGCTGTGAGGCGACAGCGATATCCACTGTGCCGCCGCGCCACCCAAAGTAAAAACGATACTTTAAAAATAATTAATTGACAGAATTAAAAATATTCAATAGGACGAAGTGAAATTTCCATCTACTGACTGTTCATGCTTACGAGCTGGTTTTCTCTCAGTGCTGGGCTGCCTAAATTGTTTTATGCTGCAGATGCCCTTCCAGCTGCTTAAAACAATTTCCAAAATTATTGGTGGTTCATTCCTCTGTGGTGTGACCCCTGATAAATGAGGGAATAAGCTAGACGAAAGTGACTATTCAAGTTTAATTCTTAATTTTCTAATTTTCACCTTTTGTAAACTCAGTACTTCAGAGCCCTCATGTGTCCTTTATTTGTAAATGCTATGCTAGTAAGATAGTAGAGTGTTTAGTCACATCAGCTAAACTGCTTCTAGACCGGCGGCACTGTCGTCTTCGGCTCTTCTGACACTTATCAAGAAACATTTTGAGGTTTTTATGGAGGTTTTTTGGAAATGTACTGTCCTGATGTTTAGTGGAATCCAGAAGAAAATGTTTGACTTGTTTATTTTCTTCTTGTGTTTGAGAAGTCTGGTCGGTAAGTTTTTTTTTTTTTTTACCAATTAAAAAAATATATAATAAATTTTATAACAACATTTTAGTTCAGATCCATCATTAATTTAGTTTAAAATATTTTCTAGTTTCTTTATTAGATTAATATACTCAGATTAATTTGCCTTCATGTTGCTTGTCATCTTTCACACACACACACACACACACACACACACACACACACACACACACACACACACACACACACACACACACACACACACACACACACACACACACACACACACACACACACAAAACTATGAATAAAAGTCAAAGTAAAATTAATTTAAGCTGCATAAATTATATATGCTGCAAAGCATGCTGGAAGTTTAATACGATGCTGGATCTCAACATGCATTGCTGCATGAGTAAAGTAAATTATAAATATAATCAATTGTTTATTTAAAAAAATGCAGTATTCAATAAGTTTATAAAGCTTCATTACAAATCTACAAATGCTGAAAACACCAGCCCATATAAATTAAAGATTAGAAATATGAAAATAAGGTGAAGCAGCTGCATGTTATGTTCCCAAATGCACTTTACATGTACCTCCCAAGAGCACTTTCAGAAATGGAGTGTGTTGGGAATCAAATTTAATTTAATGAGAACAAGACACACAACACGGAAATACTGAATTCTAAAGCATAATGCCATTTCAGTTTTATTTTGATCATTTAATTAGTTATTAGCTTCTGTTCAATTTACAAACATATTGAATTCACAAAGCCAAGTTTGGAAAACCCTGAAGATAAATATGACTGGGAGTGCAAAAAAAAAGTGTTTTCAAGATAGGGGTTGCAGGGGTAAATGGAGATTTGTGTGGAATTTCGAGTTATTTAAGTCATTCTGTGAACATTTAGTCTATAGGTAATTTTCATCTATTATTATCACTTTAGTTAATCTACTTTATATAACTGTTTCTAATAATTATGATGGGCCAAAACCCAATGTGGCTTAGTTAAATAGCTATAAATAAATAAAAAATAATAAATTAAATACTGGGATGTTGTAACACAATGTCAAAATATTGTTAAATATTGTCATTTTAATTTTATTGACAAAATGAACTTAATATGTGTTTGTCCAATGAGGCTCCTGTGCAACTATTACAGAAGGTTTAAATGCTCACTATAGCCCTACAGGGGGGTGGGGGTGGTAGGGGAAGCGAATAATTTAATTAAAACCTACTTTGTCTTCTGGAAAACATCCAAACATTCTGGAAAATATATACTGTATTCATTTATGCAAAGTTTTTAAAATGCATACATCTTCATTCTGTTTAAAAGTTTACACCCCTGCATGGTGCATTGTTTTTACATTTTGGATTTTTAAAAGATAAAGTACAATATCATTACATTATAGAATATCCCCATATTACATAAAAACCGAGTGTTTGTGTGTGTGTTTGTCTGTGTGCAAACATGATCCTGTATACCCTCAGCAAATGTGCTATAATCTTTATAAGTGTGCTTTGTAAAACATTTTACCAAGTGCCCCCACTCACAGACAGTGGTTAGCTTTTTAAATAATTCTATACATTTAACTAAAACAAAAATGCTCTTATGCTCTTGTCTGTAATATGTTTCTGTCCTCAGGTGTGTCTGGTGTTGACGCAGTGAAGGAAGTGTCAGTAATGGAGGGAGAATCAGTCACTCTTTTCTCTAGTGTTACTGAAGTACAGAGAACAGACGATATACGCTGGACGTTTGGAGCAGACGGTGCTCTCATAGCTCTTGTAGATAACAATCAGATCACATTATACAATGGTTCTGATGGGAGATTCAGACGCAGATTACAGCTGGACCATCAGACTGCATCTCTAACCATCAACAACATCACAAAAACACACGCTGGACTTTATCAACTAACCATCAACAAAGGGCAGAACATCCCAGACAAGAAATTCAATCTTATTGTGTATCGTGAGTAACTTTCCAATTCAAATCCTTTTATTTGACGCACAATCATGTTTTATTATTATTATTTTTTTTATTTATGCTTTGGATCAGTGCTTCCCAATCTTTTTTTGCCTGAGACCCCCTTTTCCCCTGGAAAATATTGTAAGGCCCCCCTGCACATTTAATGATATTGTCGTGCATAAAAGTTTGCAGTAATGATGACAAAAAAAATGTTGTTTTCAAACAAACGGTATGTTCATTACTATATCTAGATATGTTTAATCACAAATAATAGCCTAATGTTAAATATAAAAGCAAAACATCAGTAGGATATTTTTAACTAAGGGGGTGGGGGGGTTTAGTGTTTTGTAGAGGATTTGATTTCTCAGAGGATGACAAGCTGACAAAAAATTGCTGTCGCTCTGATACAACTTTTATTTAAGGAGAAAATTACAAAGCACTGCAGTGTTTATGTGCTCTGTGTTTGTCTGAGAAAACTAATCTTACAGAAATATAAATGTTCCATACAAGCTGAAGCTGACTTCTGCAAACCCAAGAAATACTCATAAAAGGCTACCATCATTTGCGATCTCCATCAGTTGATCTTCTTCCACAGTCATGGTGGATTCACCTGATTTGTTGACAAATGGGTTGCAAATCCATACCTTGGCAGTTTGTGGGTCCTTCACCAATCCCTTTCCCCTTAGCAAAGAAACTTTCTAAAGATGTCTGTTTCTTACTCATTTTGCTGCTAAAGGGTTCAATTTTGGGCGCTCAAGTGACCGAAATGTAATCGTGAGAATCCAGTCATTTTTTAAAATAAAAGACTTTTCAAAATAAAAGATCCTTCAGAATAAAACAGAAATGATTAATGATTACTTGTGTGGCCCGATACCAATTGATCCACTGACCGGTGGTTGAGGACCACTGAGCTAGGGGATAAAATGAACTAAGACAACATGATCATTCTCCTAATTGTCCACTGCTAAGAACTTTTACTGCAAAAGACATTATACTTGAGAATGAAGTGAAGTCAAATTTTGCCAAGATAAAAATATTCACCTAAAAACACTAACACAGTCAACACAGTTTCATTTGTTCTAAAACAGTGGCTCTCAACTGCGGCCTACTAGTAGCCGACTTACGGACTATCCAATGGGGCTGTAAGGTAGTGATTACTGTAGTGGTTTAAGCTGTGGTATTGCAGAATGACTAAAGAAACTGCAAAACTGTAATACTAATAAGGAAGCACATATTACACACATGTGGGAGAGCATTGCTATCATTTGACTGCATTTTATTAGATATGCAGCGGTTAGTGTTAAATCAAAAGTAATGCACAGAATACTTAAAAGTGAAATGGTTTAATAAAAATATTTGGTAACACTTTATAATAACTGCACAGTATGGACCATTTATTAAGCATTAGCAAATTGTTTGTTCGTTATTTGTTAAGCATCAACTCTACATTAATAAACGTTAGTAAGCAGTTTATAACTGAGGCTACAAATGATGTATTCGTGACTTACAAGCACATTTTTAACGTGCTTAATGATTGTGTTTTCATACTTTGTTAATGATTTATTTTTTATTACTAAATTAAGTATTGCATTATTTACAAACTATTTATTTAAGCATAGTCAGTTGTTTTTTAAGATCATTCAGATTGCCTAAATAAATGATTAATAAAATTAAATTAACAAATATACATATATATATATATATATATATATATATATATATATATATATATATATATATATATATATATATATA